TTACTACAATCGTTTTAACTATAATATCAATAAATTTTATCAAAAAACTTTCGTGGAACTACGTTTTCCAAACGTAATTTGTAGATAAAACTTAGTATACNATGTTCACCACTTATATCTACATTAATATGTGAGCATGTGTCTGTACACTTTTAATGTAGATATAATTAACATATATATAGGTATATGCATGTATGTAGATATATTCGTGTGTGTGTGTTACGTACACATCTGTGTGCGTGTAAGACTGTAAACTGTATAAATATTTTAACATAACCTTCACATGTATGTACACGATTTATCATTATCACCTTTCATAATATATGTGTGTATGTATTCATCGTACTGACATCGATACATCGATACCGATGCTCATACTGCCTGATACTCGGATTTTCGGGTGTTAAATCGTCACGGCCTATACTCACCATGAAATAGAATTTTTACCAGGCTAGCTAGCTGGCTAGCTAGCTACGTGGCTAGCTGGCTAGGTGGCGCGTAGGCACTTCCGTACAAAACTGAGCCACCGTCTTCGCCGCGTCACATAAGCGTCCTGCTATTTTTTGTTTTCTCTCTCTCGAGGGCTTGTTTTATTGTTTCGTATGCGATACCACGTACGCAAACACTTTTTTCCCTCGACAACTGATATCTGGGTATATGTATGATATGTATAGGCACGCGGTAACCTCGGGATGTTGGAAAACAATTTGTATATTTATATGTTTCAATAACACCCGCGCTTGAGTCAAAAAATACACGAATACATGCCACACGTAAACGGTTTTATTCGCACGCAAGACTTTGATTGATATTTTACTATATGAAAAACTCTCCCTTTGTTTTTTACTTTTCGGGGTACCCAAAAGTGCCAAATTCAAATTTTAAGCTACACATATTTGGCTATGATAAAAATAGATACCCATAAAAGCAAGGATAATTCAAAAAACTTATCATTAAAATTATCGTGACGAGTAATTTATATGGGATGGAGTGAAAAACCAAGTTTATTTATGTATAAATTCAAAATGTTATTTTATTTGACAGTAAAATCAAGCAAACAATTTGCGTTAAATTACATTTGTAATATTACAAACTTTAACGACGTAAAATATATTCCTTATATGTACAAATACCATGTATGAATGAATTATACACTATTTAGAAATTCTATTGACTATGATACAATCTCCTTGTTAAACTAAATTACACTTAAAGATTTTAATTCTACGATACAGATTACATTTTTTTACATTTAAACGCTGTACATTCTTGATATTATCAATAAACTTAAAATTAATATCACATGAAAAAGCTAGTTCACTTTAACACATATGTCGACGTAAAATATATTCCTCATATGTACAAATACCATGTATTAATTAATTATACACTATTCGGAAATTCTATTGACTATGATACAATCTACTTGTTAAACTAAATTACACTTAAAGATTTTAATTCTACGATACAGATTACATTTTTTTACATTTAAACGCTGTACATTCTTAATATTAGCAATAAACTTAAAATTAATGTCACATGAAAAAGCTAGTTCACTTTAACACATATGTTGACTATCTTTTATGATTTTTTATATATTAATGTCTCCCTTGGCCTGAGAATTTGTNAGTATGAAAAAATAAGTTACTACTGTTGTCTACTCACACTTGATTCTGGTATAAGTTGTGAATAACCATTTGTACATCTTCCATCTGTTTGGTTACACTTGCATCTTCGCTATGTTTGTCATTCATCGGTATTCCTGAATCAATTGTTTGTGGAAGAACCTAGCAATCATTTTTATACAACATTTAACTGAATTTATTATTTAACAAGTGATTTTTTTTTTTTTTGACGATTTATCAATATTAAATATAAGGCATAGTTGAAACGTTCATCACTACAGCAATAATTTTCATCAACAAATTACAGTGCGCGAAAAAATTTTACTTTTTTTAAACATAAAATATCACTGCTTAACGAAAATGGGTTATTGAAGTTGCAGGGAAAAATTAAAACAAAACATTTTAAATACGCCACAAAACAACACAAATTGGGATCGATGCGTTGAATTATTACTACGGCTGATTAGTATATATATACGTCATTTAACAATCAATCAAAATGATAAAGACAAAAAAGGGGTTTCTAATTTTTCAAACATTTTTTGGGATTATTCGTGAAAAAAACAAACTCAAATTTTTGAGTCCCTGCAAGAACTGCTCTCGAAAGAAGTCTTTATTAGTAATATGATGAGTACCGTTACGAGTTGCCAGAAAATCGTCGGAAATTGAAATTTGAAATTTTATAATTGTAGTACATAAATAAAATTCCATGCATTTGCGAGAACATTTATCGTTAAAATTTTTTTTTTATTACTTTGGGTGAAACACACTATACAAATCTTACGAAATTTTGGTTTTTGGGTATCTAAAATAAATAAAAATAATGGTTAAATTGATAACTTCCACATTTTATAGCAAAAACAAAACTAAAAATCAGTTTTCCACGGGGTTGTCAAAAGAGAAAATGTCGGAATGAAAAAAGTGCCCGTATCATCAATGAAGATTTCATTTTTCAATTTATAACCAGAAAATTTTTTTAATATTCTTAATTCTGATGTACTTTCAGCAGAAAAAAATTGCTTATTATTTAAATTAGTTATGAAATCTAAGTCTCTATAAATGACGTTTTCATTTATTGGTACATGGACAATTCTATTTTCTGTAAAATAGCCCTAATACTATACATACTCTCACAAATTGACATACTTGTTAATTGAAACACCCATGCATCATCAATTGCTAACAAACAAGAAGATTTAGTTCAGTTATTAATACGCCAAACTTTTTTCACCAACAACTATGTAATTTCAGAAATAATTAGCGGGTCACGTAATTTTGGAGCATAGTACACAAAAATATGAAGCATTTCTGGAAATCAGTTGTGCGTAAACAAACATATGAGTACAAAGGCCTGAATTCTTATTTTTAAATGCGTATGTCACGTTTCATGTTATGCAACGCAATTTTATACGTAAACGACCTATTTTTGGAAAAATGAAATAAAAATTAGTTGTTAACACCATGCTAGCCAACATAACATGAGTAACTAATGTTCTATAAACATCTCTTACTTATGTTTAACAATTCAACATAAACTATTTTTATTTGTCAAATATTCAAAGAAAATTTTTAGGTTTTTCAGAAAATTTTTCAGCTCTTTGAATCGAGCATGAAAATTTGAGTACATGTGTAAAAAAATCTCGTCTTGAATTATTTACCGCTTTTATATTTGCTTGCTTGTTGCAGATAACACATTTCAAACATCGTCTTATAAGTCAATTAATTACAAAAGAAAAAACCGGTAGTAGCAGCATTCTTAAGAGATCATCAGTCCATTTTTTGAATATTTGTTATTTGGCACTGAATTATTAGGCATTAAATATAACAATGTTTTGTTATTACAACTAATTTATTTACTATATTTAAGCTCCATCAAAATAAAATGACTTCATTTTTTAACACTTCCTTGCGCTTGCCCTTGTTGCTTTGATGATAAAAAAAACCCTACTAATTAAAATCACGTGATTTCTCACGTGATCTTTCACGTGACATCTCACGTGATTTCTCACGTCAAAAAGTCACATGACAAAAATCGTTCAGTCTTCAACGCGTTATAGAACTATAAAGTAACCGAAATCAAAATCCATTACCACCAAAAAATATTACTTGTACGTAATTAAAAACATTATACGTCCAGAAGCCGCAAAAAAAATGAGTGTCAAATAAAAAAAAATTATTTTTTTAAAAATCAATATACATCATTTGGCAATTTAAAGACATTTCAACAAAGATGAAAAAAAGTTTTTTTTTTCCAATCAAGTACTCGCAAAAAATACAAGTCCTGCTTTTTGCAAAAAAAGACAAGTCCCACGAGCGGAAAAAATTACAAGTCTTAAAAAGAAAAAAAAGCTTTTTCCGATAGTAAATATAAGTCATTTAGAGCATTTAATGACGTTTACAAAAGGTTAAAAAGAAACGTTTTTTCTATTAAGTACTTGCAAACTATACAAGTCATGCTGGTTGAAAAAAAATACAAGTCCCACTAGCGGAAAAAATTACAAGTCTCAACGAAAAAGAAAGCTTTTTTTAATATCAAATATAAGTCATTTAAAGCATTTAGAGATGTAAAAACAAGGATGAAAAAGGACATTTTTTTCAGAATCAAGTACTCGCAAAAAATTCAAGTCCTGCTTTTTGAAAAAAAAATACAAGTCCCACGAGCAGAAAAAATTGCAAGTCCTATAAAAAATGCAAGCTTTTTTTAATATCAAATATAAGTCATTTGAAGCATTTAATGACGTTTTAACAAGGTTAAAAAAAAAAAACATTTTTGCTTTTGTAAAAAAAAAAAAGTCTTACGAGCAGAAATAACTATTAGTCTCAATGAAAAGAATGCTTTTTTTTTATATTATAAAGGTTATTAAGAGCATTTAATGACGTTTGAACAAGGTAAAAAAGGACATTTTTTTTCTATCAAGTACTCGCAAAAAATACAAGTCATGCTTGTAAAAAAAAAATACAAGTCCTACGAGCGGAAAAAATTACAAGTCTCAACGAAAACAATGCTTTTTCCAATATTAAAAAAAGGTTATTTAGAGCATTTAGAAATGTTTAAACGAGGATAAAAAAGGTCATTTTTTCCAATTAAGTACTTGCAAAAAATACAAGTCCTGCTTTTTTAAAAAAAATACAAGTCCTACGAGCGGAAAAAATTAAATGTCTTAACTTAAGTACATGTCTTGTTTCTATCATGATAAANAAAAAAAAAAAAAAACAGCCCTTATACGTATCCTTAGGTGCAGCGGCATCCAAAACCAAACGTAACTTTCTTCGTCAACAACAAATCTCAAGTGCCTAGTCGCAATGGGCACCCTAGGTGACGCTGGAGGACGATAAAGAGGCAGGAATGGCCGCAGTGGCCAGTTCGCGCGTACCCTAAAATTTAGGGTGAACAGGCCTCGAGTGGCGGCGTCGGGGAGGCAAAGGTGGCGGCGTCTTCAGCCACGTTTGCTTGTGCTCGTCATCCTTATTGTCACCGATTATGCTACTGCCTCTACTACTGTTTTCGCTGCCTATTCGCAGCTTGGTGTTTTGCTGTGATGATCTCTTGTAGTCCACTATGATATCCGTAAATTTCATGATCCTACACCGGTACAAGACCACCTCCTTAGAGTTCTCGCCTTCTTCGAGCTTGACAGCCGAGTCTTTGGAGCTCACTAGCGATTCGGGCCCAACGATATCGCCGTCTGAGAGCGTCAGCTCAGAGTCCCTCGATAAGGACATGTAATCCTTGCTCGGAGGTTCCGTCAACTGGAGGTTGTCCAGGGAAATCCCATCAACTACAATAAAACGAGAGATAAAAAAAATTAAAAACCAATTGTTACGAAGTCATTGGTGGATGTGAAGGAAAGTTTGGTGCTCACAGTGTAGAATGTCGGTGCTGTCTTCGGCTTGGCTGTCGTTTAGCTCGGCGCCGAAAAGCAGGTCGACCCCTTTGCCGAACAGGACCTCGTAATGCCGGATGAGCATCTCCGCGAGAGCAGGAATCGCCCGGCTCTGGTTGACCAAAAGACTCTCGGACCAAAGCAGACTCGGTCCACAGCACACGCCCAGATTACTCGCGGAAATGAGGTTGTGCTCCGAGCGCCGGGCTATGTGGTGCAGCACGCAGACCAGGTGCGACAGCAGCGTATAATTTGCTTCCGGTAGACGATCCAGAATGCTACAAACCAAACGAATGATAAATATATAAACAATCATACATAATAAGGTAGCTCCATTGCGGTAAAAATCCCGGGTCGTACCTTTTGATCGTCTTGATGGGGTCCGGAGACTCGGGACTAGCCATCCACAGGGAAAAGAGGTAGGAAGTGAGAAGGAGATCGGGCAGGGATCTCAGAAAGTCCTTAAGTAGAGCGGCAACTGCAAAGACGGGCGCATCCTCGAGGCAGCTGGTGTCGCCCGAGGACTCGATCTGGTCCTTGAGCACCCGGACAACCTTCAAGTTGGCGGACTTGCGGAAGATGCCTTGGATGGAGGGGCCCTTGGCGAGGAGCTGCTGCAGCATGACGAGGACCGGCTTTGGCAGGCCGTTCTCGTCGAGCCGTGCCAGATTTACGCCAAAGACGCGAGAACTCGAGGAGAAAGACCTTCGCAAGAGACCCCATACCCGGGATTTGTGCGACTTGGCGTCACCATTGACCGACGCCAGCTTTCGCGAGTCGGTTCCCACGTACTTCTCGTACTTGGCAAGTCTCCGAACCTGAAAAGCAAAACGTTTTGGTTAATCGTTAATTTTTGATTGGCTGCAAAAAGACAACTACATTTTTATAATTGTAATATGTCAAGAACTTTAAATTTTCGCTTGTGTCGGGGCAACATTACTCGTTTGATAAAAAGAAAAAGGGCCCTTTCCAGTATCCCGAAACTGTAATCACCGAAATTCCGAACGTTATATGCGTCATGCACACAAGCCGGGAAATTCAACTTTCTCGGTTTTTTTTCCCTGCTTCAAGTACACGTGGCGCCTGTCGTTTGGTCCCGGGGGAGAGATTCAACTTCAACGTGCCAGTTTCCTCGACTTGAAATGATACATTTTTCCGAAAGCTTATCTTATCTCTACTTCCTTAATGAAATAATCGCACATGCGCCGAATCCAACCAATTGTTTGTACACGTGCAAGAAAAAATCAATGCTGTACATGGCGGATTTACGCTTTCATCAGCGTCAAAGTACAGCAAATACTTAACATAAAAGGCATGCAGGAAAGATAAATAGTGCAAAGAAGCAGCTGTGCCCGAAAACACCGGTGTCTTGAAAATCGAACATAACGCTACATCAGAGGTAGTACAAAACTAGCTCTGTAATGCACCTCAACCCCGTTTTTTAAATGTAGGCAAATGTTTAGGGCAAAAGTTAAATGTATTTTCAATTTAATTCGAAACTTACCTCACTACTCTGCTGGTCGTCATTTGATCCGCACCAAAGGGATCGGAAAGACGCTCTAGTTTTCTTGCACCAGCTGGAAAAGGTTGTTCTCTTCATTTTTCAGTGTGGAATAAACTCCACTTTCACTAGTCTTAATCTGGTTTACAATGAGAACAGTAACTACAACTGGACAGTAGAGCACTCCACGATAGAATTACTAAGAACTAAGAGACGGCGGTCTTATCGCACTTTCGAATATCCCCACTGTGCACTGATGTGTTATCGGTCTTTCACTATTGGCCCGAGCGAAATTATTATTCAATAGGAAAGGTCAGTAGTGGGATCATTTTGGCAGTGACTTGTACATGACTAATTGTGTTCGAGTACATCATTCTCAGGTAGCTCTACCTACACCGGAGCTCGACACCTCGACGATGTGTAGCTTAGAATTTAAATTTAATACTTTTGGGTATCCTAAAAAGTGAAAGACAAAAGAAGAATACCTCATATGTATATAATGTATGTTAGCTCGTATTTTGTATCAATTTCTGGCTATAACGAAGCGTCTTGCGGTATGATGTCGATCATAATTTTTTTAATAACCAAATTTATGGTGGACCCAGTATTTCATCAGTTCCGCTATACTGGACCCTTTTTAACGGAAAAAACCAGCGTATAAAAGCTGTAGAGTAAACAAAAAGTTAGTTTCTTCAGATTTAACACAATTACAAACGTGTATAATGCGGGACAAAAACTCCCTGTAATCTTTTTTATATCGATCATTGAAGAAGAAAAAAATTGATTAGTTCAACGGAATAGGCAATAATTGTATTTTACAAAGCATCGACTGGGTTTTTCTTAAAACTTCGATTGACACTACTATTCCTAACGCATTTTTTAATTGATGTCGTTTTTAATGATTCGGGATATTTATATTTATGACAATTTCCAAAAGTGTTAAAATTTTCGTTAAAGTTCCATAAACTACAAATCATCGCAGAACAAAAAAAAAACAGAGCCAGAGATTCGACGTAAATTTAAGATGTAGGCGCATGATGAAGAAGGAGAGAAGATGTCTAGCTAATAAGAGTATAAGGAGAGAGACATAATGAGAGTTGGCGCGAGAGCGATTAATTGTACCGACTGAAACAAAAGGAGAAAAGGGATGAAGGTAAGAAAGAAATTGACCGGCGCTTGCGTATGTGTTATATGTGATGAATTTTTTGTGAACTCGGTGTGCTGCCACCTTTGGCGTGCTGCGAGGTTGATCCTCCACCGCTCACGAGGCGGTCTACGAATTATAGTCGTTTCGACTAAACAACATATTTTATATATTTAACGTTGCAGTATCTACATAGGTATTGAGTTCCACGTGCGCGGTCTTCCACCAGCTACGGAAAGCGCATAAGCACCACCTAGCCAGCTAGCCACGTAGCTAGCTAGCCTGGTNGTTGCCAACATAAGTGCCCTGAGTTATATAGCTAGAGGCCATCGTTTTATTAATTATTGAGTTATTGACAATTAAAAAAATCTGGTAACAGGTGATATTGATAATTAAGAAAATATTTACAGAGTTATTTAGTTAAAGACGCTTTTTTTTACAGATACAACACAACCACCTCCGAATTTAAATTGCGCGCGCTTTACTAGTTCCTTTTTCCTAACACCATCAGACTACTTGTTCCATAATACGTACCCCGAGCGCTCCGAGCAACCCAAGAGTCATTGAGGTGTATATCTATATTTACAGTATTGGCCATGAATACAGATATACACCTCAATGACTCTTGGGTCGCTCGGAGCGGGCGAAGGCCTCGGAGCACTTGAATCGAACAAGACTCTATTAGGTACGTTCCACTTGGAAATAAAAAGAAGCGTGTTCACGCTCGGCTTTTAAAAATGTCGTGTGTGCGAACACCCACGGGCTTCCGTACGCTAATACCAATATATATATATACCTATAGCCATATAACGATGTAGTTGGTAAAATATACATTAAATCATTGATTGATTAGTTTGGCAAAACTTGTGATGTGACAATAACAAGTGTAAATGTAGTAAGTAGATAAAGAAATGAATGAAAACTAAAGGGTGGTCCACTCACGTATCCAGACGAATTTTTTTGAGGGCGACGACCTTGCCCGTAAGTTTGTCCTTGGCCTTGTAGACGACTCCATACGTACCCTGACCGATCTTCTCCAGTTTAAAATAATTGTCCATCATCCTGGTCAACTATTTTCAGCTCAAACCTGATTAATCCGGGATATGCACGTGGAAAAACACACACACACACAATTATAAATGAAGGCCCTACTTTGTGAGGAAGACAAACTATGTAAACACTACATGTACTTACTTACCTCAAGAGAGAGAAAAGAAAATCAGCTGCCGTGGATGGCTAAGGTGTATCGTTGTGGTATTACTACTTTCTGTGCTACCTTATCAGATTTAGGAACGAGCTGATTGGCTTTGCTGACTCGCTGATGATGAGTACAGGTGACATCACGTTTAAAAAATAAACTCAATTTAGGTACTAGTCAGCATCAGCGATCTTAAAAGTGGCCACCGATCAAGCGCGCGAAATTTAAATATGGTACTTGCAAAAAAAATACTAGTAAAAATTAAATTATTGATCAAATGATAAAAAAAATACAATTGATAACGCAATAATTATCCAAGACGCATTCGAATCAACATTTGTCTTCTAAAATCTCAAATGCAAACATATATGAGTATACGCTGAGTATCGTAATGATAATAAATGTCATTGGTTGAATGGTATTACCAAAAACTTGACATTTTTTTAGTCAATACTGATAATTTGTTGACTCAATAATTTCGTTTAATAGTTTCTATTACAGTGTAGAACATAATTATCATTAAGAGCGGGTGTCTGTTTTACCATTAGTGCTACGCAGTATTGTGGAGTTTATCGACGGTGCAGAAAGTACGGTCACATGAGTTTGCGTGCCATGGAATTCTCGCTATCCCATGTCTCGATTGCTATTAAAATAATTAATTAATGGTGAATAAAACGTAGCACCAAACGTACAGGTTATTCAATTCACCAAAAGCTTGAGAAATTAAGGAAATATTATTTATTGACATAAAAAAGTACATATGTGCAAATAATTAAACATTTATATTTTAAGTTTTAAGTATTCCATAGACATCTTCAAAATAATGATTCTGATCCAATCTCTTTTCCGATGTATGTCTTTATTCGGAAACCAGTCTTTAAGGCACGGTATGTCCAAATAATTAACTATTGGAGTCTAAATATGTACAATGTTACAGTATAAGTACATACTATTTAATTATTAATGCAGAACAGTTTAAATTTATATACCTTGAAAAAGGATTCAACGAATTGCAACAGATACACTCCACAATCACTGCCATTTAGTTGTTGCTGTACGTCTAAGCAATGCGTTTTCATGTTATTACTGTTGTAGGTTTTGTTTACTTCATTGTTTGCTGAGACTTCATTTAAAAATTTGAGTAGTGTGTCTGTCACTTCAGCTGTCCCATAATTTTTAATTGAGTTCATTATCAGTATACATGGGCTAGAATGACGAAATAAATATGTAATAAAATAACAGGTAATATACACATTGCATTTCTAGTTATTAGCAAAGCTTTTCAACACCTTCCACGAGAGCGGTGATATTCGATTTTAAGGTAATGTAGCTCTTTTTAAAAACCATAATTGTGAGAAAATTTTTTTCTTTAAATTAATAATTAAATTTTCACAAGACATTTAAGTAGTACACATTATTGACCGTAATAAATGCATATTTAAATGAATCCAATTTTTAAAATTTAATGACTTTAAATGAAGCCTAAATGAAACATTTGTACTTAATTCGTTAATGCACTATTGGCTAATAAAAAAGCAAGCGAAGCGTACTCAGGTTACCTTCGTTTATTTGCGATCCAAGAACTTTGTAATCAATTAATTCATCGTTAATTAAAAGATATTGTATACAATGGTACACTGTGTTAAATTTTCATACGTACGCTTTCACATTCGTTTTTCGTCGTTTCAGAAACGTTGGACACGTTCCATACACCAAGTAAGGAAAACATACTACAGCTAAAAACCAATGTGCACTACAAAAATTTACACATTATTTTATATTGTATTCAATATAGACACAAAAAAATTTTTTTTTATATCTTTTTTGAGCTACAAGTCTTACGTTTTATTTACTGGAACTATGATAAAATCTTTTTCCAATATATCGCTTTTCCATTGACTTCTGCGCTCATACTTGTGTTGGGTGGACTTAGCAAACATATGTAAACTTTCATAAAAAAATGAATCCATGATAATACTTTTTTTACGATCTCTTTCGGTTAGAATATTATGATACAAGTATTTTAAATAAAAGTTGACGATAACATCGTTCAAAAAAACGTTTGGACGTAATCGTAGCAGATCTAATCCACGTACTTCTATACCATCTTTCGCCGGAGAAGCAGGATATACTGCGATTCTGCAACAATAATTATAGTCGTAAGGATATAAATATCATATAAACTGATGCTTGATTTATTTGTTTGACTTAAAATCAATTCGATTTTTAAGTTTAAGTGAAACTGGAGTTCATGTACTTGTTAATATTTGGCCATTATTTGTTTTAGCTACTGCTGTCACGCTCTTAGAAAATTATTTGTATCAAAATATATTTTAACATAGTAGACAGTATATACACAGAAATAAATGAATGAAGATTCTACACAATTTCTTATCAATATATTAAAAATATTGTTTCAAATGAATTTTTCATCTTCTATAACGATTTTTTTACAGGTAATTTTATTCACGATAATAGGTTACTATTAATAACGAATATTTATTGAGGTCATAAGAGACATTTTCATGTCTTGATTAAATAAAAAAATGACTGGAAGAAAATTATTTTTACATATAAGTACAAACAGCATGGTTAAAAAAATTTTTCTAAATGTATGATTACTAACTAATTCACAGTAGTGCTTTAATTTTTAATGTCTTTACCAAGGGCATGAAAAATGATACATTACTTTTCTATGAATAAGTATGAAAAAATTAGTTACTACTGTTGTCTACTCACACTTGATTCTGGTATAAGTTGTGAATAACCATTTGTACATCTTCCATCTGTTTGGTTACACTTGCATCTTCGCTATGTTTGTCATTCATCGGTATTCCTGAATCAATTGTTTGTGGAAGAACCTAGCAATCATTTTTATACAACATTTAACTGAATTTATTATTTAACAAGTGATTTTTTTTTTTTTTGACGATTTATCAATATTAAATATAAGGCATAGTTGAAACGTTCATCACTACAGCAATAATTTTCATCAACAAATTACAGTGCGCGAAAATGTTTTACTTTTTTTAAACATAAAATATCACTGCTTAACGAAAATGGGTTATTGAAGTTGCAGGGAAAAATTAAAACAAAACATTTTAAATACGCCACAAAACAACACAAATTGGGATCGATGCGTTGAATTATTACTACGGCTGATTAGTATATATATACGTCATTTAACAATCAATCAAAATGATAAAGACAAAAAAGGGGTTTCTAATTTTTCAAACATTTTTTGGGATTATTCGTGAAAAAAACAAACTCAAATTTTTGAGTCCCTGCAAGAACTGCTCTCGAAAGAAGTCTTTATTAGTAATATGATGAGTACCGTTACGAGTTGCCAGAAAATCGTCGGAAATTGAAATTTGAAATTTTATAATTGTAGTACATAAATAAAATTCCATGCATTTGCGAGAACATTTATCGTTAAAATTTTTTTTTTATTACTTTGGGTGAAACACACTATACAAATCTTACGAAATTTTGGTTTTTGGGTATCTAAAATAAATAAAAATAATGGTTAAATTGATAACTTCCACATTTTATAGCAAAAACAAAACTAAAAATCAGTTTTCCACGGGGTTGTCAAAAGAGAAAATGTCGGAATGAAAAAAGTGCCCGTATCATCAATGAAGATTTCATTTTTCAATTTATAACCAGAAAATTTTTTTAATATTCTTAATTCTGATGTACTTTNTCCATGATAATACTTTTTTTACGATCTCTTTCGGTTAGAATATTATGATACAAGTATTTTAAATAAAAGTTGACGATAACATCGTTCAAAAAAACGTTTGCGATTTAAATGAGCATCGGTATCGATGTATCGATGTCTCTACGATGAATACATACATACATATATTATATAAGGTGATAATGATAAATCGTTTACATACATGTAAAGGTTATGTTAAAATATTTATACAGTTTGCAGTTTTACACGCACACAGTTGTGCACGTATCACACACACACATAAATATATATGCACATACCTATATATATATGTTTATTATATTTACATTAATAGTGTACTCACATGCTTACATATTAATGTAGATATAACTGGTTAACATTCATAATTAATCAACAAATACATATAGGTATTTAATGTATTATATATGTATATATAAATAT